TATCCTCATCATTATTCAAAAACTCCATGAGCAACCGTACCTCCAAATAGCTGATATTCGAGGGGGCGAAATGGGCCAGACGGACTCCAATGCGTGAAGTAGTACTGTTTGCTGTTGCGGCCACTTGAATATCAGGTATGCTGTTACTGTTACTACTGCTTCTGCTGATGCAACCATTGGCTGCACTTTTGTTCCTGTTATTGGTGTAAGAAGAAACGGAAAGCGATGTTGACGCAACGGCTGGTAGCTCATTGCCACTTGACGACGACGATGCTTGCCCACTGCAAAAAAAAACTCGATCAGGGGAAAGAACACACACACACACAAGCAATCGTGCACATATCGCCATACATACACAGAGCAGAAAACGCCGCTACTCTGAAAGTGAGTTAGAATTAGTTAGAATTAGGGAGAGGAAAGTGAAGGGACCCCGATTCTAACTCACTCTGAAAGTGAGTTCTAACTCAAAGTGAGTTCTAATTCTAACTCACTCGGTGTCCCTTCACTTTCCTCTCCATCTTTAAAGGACTGCCACACTCAATGAGAAGTAGCGCCAGAGGCTGCAACGGCAAAGCCGTCAAAGATTCCCTTCGCCAAGGGTTGTTGATGAAGATTCTAACTCCTCGACGCTGCTGTTGATGAATATTTTGACTCTCCACGCCAATTTACTACCGAATTAATGAAGTAAATGTGTTTTTTTTTTCAACTGCACAAACAATCATTCAGATTACTACTTTAACCCACCACCCGAAGATGATGCAGCAACAGTGCTGACTCGATCCAACACATGAGAGCATCGTTTTAGCACAGAAAACTCACTACCTTATCATCAACACATTGAGAATCCCCCCTACAATAACAGCACCATAACTGCTAAAAATCATCGTGCACAAAATGCACGAAAAATTTGCGCTCCCCGTACATCACATTGCTGGATTCACCTCGCCTCATCAGGAAGTTCGCAGAACTCTAATTTCTGAAGGATTCAGAATTCTAAACGAAGCGGCGATGCTTTACAAAGTGCCCAGGAATCGCGGCTACGGATCTATTTTCTTGCGAGTCGCCGCTTCAGATGTCTTCATGTTCAAATTCAAGGAGACGCTACATTATCAATTTCTATTTAAATAATTGTTAGATTAACGGCGACTCTTTAACAACTGTTCACAAAAATGAGAAGCTTGAAAGCCAAGCCATACTCGGAACTGTTGGTGTTATCATCGGGTATCTGCTTCCCGACAAATGAATTGATCAATGACTCCAACGCATTCGGATGATTTTCGACTAGCACTGTGCTGCAATTTGAAAAAATTACAGGGTAAAGTGAGACAACAGCGACCAACAGACTATAGCAGAAGAGTTTTTTGATCGACGTACAACTTGCACTTTCGAAAATTTGCACTAAGTCGATTATATATCAGCTGATCATGCTAGAATCCAGCCCCACACTTAATATCAAAACGAATCGAAATAGCATCACCGAAATGAAGAGCAGTGTCAGAAGGCCATGTAGCGGCAAAACGAAGATACAGTACGGAGGAGAATGCAGTAGTTTTGATTTCAGCCGTATGTGGCCGCACTTGGAACTGAAAAGGCAACCAGCTCGCGAACCAACCAATTCGTTCAAATTCATCTACGCCTATGCCACAAGATCCTCCTTTTTTCCTTATCGTATCTTTAAAACTTTATTGGGCAGAAGTGACATGCACAGAGATGCAGTGGATAGTTTCAAATAATTGGCCAACGCCGTGCGATGATGCGTTTTTTTTGTCCGTGCAATGATGCGTTTTTGGCATAGTTCCCCGCGGCTTTTGTCGCCTCCGGCATCGGTTTTTTCGGCAGATCCTTCTTGCTAAACAAATTAAAACTAGCCGCCAAAACTGGCACGAAACACCCCTTAAAATTTCAGCTTCCTAGCTTTCCTGGCTCCTGGGTTAGCAATTTACTGGAAAAAATTTTTCACGATCCTGCACTCGGGTACCACGCATACCCGATGTCTGGGTCTAAGCTCGTTGAGACTTACTTGGACGGGGAACATCTTCCTAAAACCACAGTCTTTTAACTTTACAGGTTCTCGAGTTATGAGCTTACCCGAGAAAAACTTTGGTGAACCCATGAGTAGGTACCACGCATGACCGACGGCTGGGTTTGATCTCGCTGAGACTAATGTTGAGACTAACGAGAAATACTCTCTTAATGTTACAGTCTTCTAGCATCTCAGATCCCCGAGTTATGAACTTGCCCGAGAAAAATTTTGGCGGGCTCGTATGCGGGTATCACGTTTATCCGTGGGTTGAGTTTGAGCTCATTAGTACCTACTTGGACGGGGAACATTCCCTTAAAATTTCAGCTCTCTGGCTTTTCTGGTTCGCGAGTTAGCAGCTTACCCGTAAAAAACTTTGACAGGCTCTTACGCGGGTACCGCGCGGGAAAGACCGCCCATTTTGGAGATGGGGACCCGTACGTGCATGTAGATTAAGTCTCCAAAGTCTCAGTCCTGTAGCTTTTGCAGGTCTCGAGATGAACCCAGGCTGGAACGCACCAGGCGGGCCGGTGCGATTATGCGTTTTTGCACT